AGCACCAAGCAACGTTAATTCAAGACAGGACGTGGAGGGGTCAGGACTCTGCTGTCAAGGTTCCCAGCCAGAAAAGTGAACATATTCATGAATTAAAATCAAAAGAGCAAAGGCAATGGCAGATTGGAGTTCCACAAAGTTCTACAAGCCTGTCACACAAAGGAGTTGGGTGTAAAATCCCTTCTTGAGGAGGAAGCCCTCACCATCCACGAGTACTTGAGAGGTGTGGACACTCACGTGCAGAAAACTTGAAGTTTTCAAGGTAAGGAGACAACAAAAAATTAAAGGGAAAAGTACAGGGCATCTAATGTACTTCAGGGGAGTGAAAGAAAATTTTGTTTCCTCTGACTTAAGAGAAAGAAACATACTAGCAAATATATCCAATTCCATTTCAATAAACTTTCTACTTTTTCTAGGCCCAGGTAACAACCATTTAAGTCATCTTGAATATGACTGATTCATAATGCTTCAAAAGAGTTTACCCAGATTTTTAGAGCTGGTCTAAAGGGAATATGCCTTGTACTTGAAATGGAATCTTAAGACATGGTTCTGGTAGCCTAGATTTCTGGCTTTCCTGATTCTGCGAAAGATTTTTATACGTGACATTTCATAGGAAAAAGAGAAAGCAAAATAAAAGTCACCCTCAGTGCAGCCCGATCCTCTATCTAGATGTGACCTGAAACATACTAGCTTTAGTGCAGAATTAAGTTCATACTATAAAATGAGGTGATTAAAAATATTTGAATTGGCACTAAATCAATGGTCAATTTTTGGTGATCCACAAAAAAGAAAGCATGACATGACTAGCATTGGGCAGCTGAAGTTTAATAACACTCGTTAGATTTTCCATGGGTTCCACAAGAACACTTAGGACAATTAAGAGTTCGCAGCACGACTTCTAACTCTGCTCTGGTCAATAGGACAGGCGTAGGCGCACCGTTAATCGTGGTTAATAATGGCTCATAAACCCACAGTGGCATTTAGAAATATCAGAACGTTATTTCAGCAAAATGCAGCTGGTTAAGCCAGAAGCTTCCCTAACAGCAACCAACTGTAGAGCGGTGGGTCTCCAAGTGTCCCTTTCCTCTCCTCCTCACAAACAGCGATGCAAACTCCTCACCTCCTGCCCAGCAATCTGGTTTACCAAGCCCTCCAAGTGGTTGCGATTTGAGGGCACTGCTGTGGAAAAGACTACACTGCTGTGGAAGAGGTTTTGATTCTGAAACCAAGCAGTTGGGCCAGTCAGGGTGTCAGGCCAGTTCCATCTTGGTTGACCCAACCTCCCCTTCCCATGGCCCGTCCCTTTTAGTAGGCAGCCGAAAGAGCAGGACCTTGTTCAAAACATACTTTCAAAAGGTCCTTAGAGATAGGTCTCATGGAAAAACCCTCTATTTTTCATATGTTACCATAGTAACATGAAGCATCATTTACTCCTATAAGAAAGGTCCCCTTTGCAGGGGACATTGAGTATTTACAGAAAGATCACTTTATCCTAGGAAACCAACTTCTGGAAAAGCAAATATAGGAAACTCAGCTTCTAAGGCTTCCATATATATACACCTTTATGGCCCTTGTTCGAAGTGAACTTTCCCTAATTATGGCTGCCCAATAAGGAAAACATGTGTCCTGGACAACGCTCCACTCTTCACTCTGAAAGACATCATTTCCATGTAATGGTGAAGAGAACTGTCTTACTTCATGCCCCCTACCGGTCCCTCAGCCCAGAATCCACAAGGGAAGCTGACCTGTGTCCTCTCTACCCGTCATCCGTGGCATTTCGCATCCTAGGACGGCCTTCGTGAGGTCTACGTCCAGTCCTACTTGTGGGAGCTACCATAAAAATAACAATGTTTATTTCTGGACTATGAAATCCATCTCTGTATTATAAAATCAATGACATTTTGTGTGTAGCCCTTTATTTTTAAAGTTTATAGATAGCTTCCATATTTACCATCTCATCTGCTGCTTATAACCTGTGAAGTGGGTACAGTTTTATTATTCCCACTTTGTAGATAAGGAAACTGGAACTTAGTGCTGACTTCAATAAACAATGACCACTGATCAGTAGGGAGGAAATACAAATGTTTCACATCAAAAATCAAAGAATTTACGATGTTCAAAAGGACGCCTGAACTTTCTTGAATTTGTCATCTGCCAAGCGATATTTGCTAAAATCACTCAGTAGGGTTTTTTTTTAGGTGGTATTTTCTGTCTTAGGAAGTGTGGGGAGCTGGGAGGTGACATAAGGAAGACAACCTCTCCCAATTACCGAATGGACATAACCTCCAATGGTATCTGGGATTCTATGAGGTTCAAAGTAACAACAATGATGATGGCACTGAGATTGATTAATTAAACTCTTACTATGTGCCAGGCACTTTTCCAGGTTCATTAGTTACAGTCAACAACCCTATTAATATCACCATTTTACAGATGAGAAAAACAAGGCACAAAGAAGCTAAGTAACTTGCCCAAGATGACACATCTTGCTCCCTGGATGCAGGGAGGACGTGGGATTGGAGGTGCCAAGTCTCGGTGAGGTTTTCCCCACCAATGACGGAAAACTGACATGGGAGGGCAGCCACCACAGGAACCTGGATTACATCCCCAATGTTGCCATTTAAGCAGCCTCCACACTCTCTTGGCCAAAATGTCAATCAAGTAATCAGGAGAATCAACTGAGACTCCTAACAGTTCCTTCCCAGACTGTCCCCATGGAGGTGGGGAAGGAGGGGAAAGATCCCGGTTTCCTAGGTCTTGATTAGTCATAGCACACTGGCTGATTTGTCTGGAACTGCCTTCAACTAATTTAAGAAAAATCAGAGGCGAGCAGCTCTGGAGGAAATGTGCAGACTAAAGATGCATGTGGCACTGCTGAGTATTCAGTAACCTAGCAGAAACTGAGGTGGGAGGCAGAAGTTGTAGTCAATGCAGGTAACAAATGGCTTTTTCTTAAAAAAAAATAAAAATAAAAAGGAATCCTCACTGGTGTAAATTATTCCTGCCTTCTTTTCTCTCTACTTTTTTTTTTCAACTGCTCATATTTTTGGAATTTTATGAGCCAGCTTTCACATACTGATTAATCTTTGTAAGTTTTTATATCTTTTTCTTAAGGAAGGAAACAGAGATCAAGTTGAACTCTTAGGCAAGAGAGAAAAATTACATGAATGAATGCAGTCTTCATGGGCCAGTTATACTATGATGGGTGGTAGGGACAACTTTAGAGGCTTCCTCCAAGTTGCTTACCTAATCATTTCTTGCCTTTAATTTCCACTGAATAACCTAAGGCCACCTTGAGATCCTGGGAGTCCAACAGAAAACCAAATTTAAAGCGAGTTCCAGGGTAGTCCACACAATCTCGCCTGGAGGAAAAGTCCCATATCTAGGAGATGCGGCTACAGTGACCAAAGCTAGGTGACTTTTAATATCCACATTTCTTCTACACCCTCAAAATTCTGGCCCAACTACCTACTAACTGTGGGCCCCTGTACTTCACCTGCCTTCTCTACAAAATGAGGATGATAAAACCTTCATCAGGTTGGTGTGAAAATTAAATGAGCTGATACATGTAAAGCCTTTAGAACAGTGCCTGGTGCGGGGTCAGCAGCCAGGCAGTGTTAACTATTATTATTATTACTACTAGCGTTTGCAAAAAACAGTATAATAAGGACCTGCATACCAGAGGCTTCTACTGTACTGGTAATGTTTTATTGCTTTAAAAAAAATCTAAAATCAGGACTACCATCAATACAAAAGAATAAAAAGGTCTTGGGAAAAGGGTTTTTAAAAAAGCCACTCATAATCATGCCACCTGTTGGTGAGTTTCAGGTGAGGGAGGGTACACCGCGGAGCAGCGGTGGAATCCGGTTCTACCGCCGCTCCATAGTTTTTCCCTCAGATGATGCCTCCCCTATTGCTTGCGGTTCTTAATCAGCGTTTCATGCGCAGGATTACGGGTGCGTCCGCGAACCCCCTGAAACTGTGCACGGAACTGGGTGGGGCTGTGGCTCTGGGCATTTTGCGGGGAGCGGTTCCGTCGCTTTTCTCAGGCTCTAGTAAATGATCCTGTACCGAGCAACTTGCTTTACAGGGCTGAACTCAGGAGACAGCGACTGAACAATTCATTTCACGGAAGCTGCGGCAATCATCAGGACACCTGGGCTGTTAATCTGCTATCTCAACACCAGAGAGACCTGACACCGCGAGGGGCAATAGCCGGCCGGGCAGTGACCTTCGCCGTTGAAAAACTCACCGGCTCCCCAGGCCCAACCCGGGTTTGCCAGGTTTAAGTTCCCCTCCCTTCCCCCATCCCTCCTTCTCTTCCAAGAACAAACTCAAAGGAAATTGGCAACACTCTGTCTAGGGTTTCACTCCTGCCCTCGGCTGACACTTAAACCACTTCTCCCAGGGGAGTTAATTAAAAGAACAATTAATCCGCACAAAAATCCAAAATCCACCCCGAAGCTCGAGAACTCTCAAAGTTAGAAGACTGAGACGCCTCTGCTGATGGTGAACATCCGCCGGCCGCTGGGGCTCAGGGATGGGCAGGGGGTACGAAAGGGAAGTAGCCAAGGTGCGGCTGGAGGGCCCGACGCTGCCCACCCTCTCCGAGTCGACACGCTACCGACGCCGGCGAAGACCGGCTTGGAGGCAGCCAGGTAAGCAGGTAGGTGTGGGCAAGTGTACAAGCACACAGCCGCGGCAGATTAAAGTTCAAGTCGGTTCACACACCGCTCCCCCTTCCCCGGCGGGTGTTCTCACGCACGGCCGGGCGGCCACTTCCCCGCGAAAGCCTGGCGCTCGACGGTCCCCCTCTTTGGAATGGGTTCCCCAAATCCCTAGTGAGCCCGAGTGACTCCCTTCGTCTCCCAACCTCCAAGCCTCGAGGAGCATTCGCCTCCCTCTCTCTCATTCACAGAACACCCCCAGGAGAAAGAAATGGAGGGGACAGGGGAAAGCGGGGTGGCGCGGAGGGCAGGTGGCTCAGGCAGCGTACGTACCCAGCGCGAAGAGGGCGAGCTGTCCAGCGGAGGTGACCATTTTACGGGCGGCGGGCAGCAGGCAGCAGGCGCTCCAGCCTCCTGCCCTACCTGCGGTGCCCGAGT